GACTATGGTCATTTATTGTCGTGGATATCAGTCTTTCAAAATTCATACTTTTTGCTTTCAGTGTTGTGTAGTTGTCACTTTAAATTAAAATATCTTTAAAACGGTCCATTTTAGAGGTATAAAAGGTTATGCATTCAAAATTGATTACTCTATTGTTTTGACAAAAAAAATTAATGTTAAGAGGCCAAAAAAAACGAAAAAACATAGAAAATATGACCAGTAATTGCTGAAACCGGAAATTAAGTAGATGATTCCGGTTTTCGTAATTACTAGTTTAAAAGGTATGTTCTCGCAAGTAACCATTACATTTGGTCAAATGGTTCCCAAGTTATTACAAAAAAAACAAATTTCTATGCCCACATTCCGAGGGCTATAAAATTCTTATCAGTAGAGATAGGACACGAGTTATTATTTAAATTAACATCATTTTATAGCTTATTTTTGAGGTTCAAATATTGCTTCATATTTATGAATAACCCTGTATACCCTGAGTAGTAAATGGTCTGCAAACATTTCATATAAATAAACAAAATTTATTTTTTAAGAAGATTTCAACACTATTTTGGAATGATAATTGATTTTTGCACTCCTTGTGTTGTTAATTTTTGTTCACTGTTCGCAAGACATTGCAGAACCATTTCGTTTACTATATATAATACTTTAAAGTGAATGACTGTAAATTCTTATGTTAATATGTACAATACGGATTTCATACAATTTCATTCTCGGAAAGATAACACAAAAAAAATTAATTTAAACATATCGACAGACCCAACGAAAACTGTAGTAAATTGCATTGAATCTTTGATTGTTAATAAAAAATCGAAGAACTGTTTAATATTATTGAAAATTGCTAAGGGTCTATATTTTGGTAATAATAGTTCAAAAAAAAATTATCATTGGTTTGTATTTTGGGCCCTACGTAAGCCATCGTACTAGAAACGAATTTTTATGAGTTACTAGGTATAGTTTTCGTTGGGAGAGTCGATATGTGATGTGTCATGATGTAAGCAAACTAAAGCACTCAGACGTCGAAATGGGCTTTTTGGAAATTTTGAATAATTCCAAATCAACACTACGAGTTGGGATGCCGCCCTGAGGGGTCCAAACGGTGCATACGGAGAAGATAATTAAAAACCTGGCGATGCGAAATGCATTGTTGTATCGGTAATATACTTATAAATCATGAAATTAGCTAAAATGGCCCCGGAGTGATTTGCTATTATAGTGGCCGGTACCCCCTTTATGCCGTGTCTGAGCGTATCGCGAACGTGCATCTAAAACAGCCAGCACATAAAAAGAGTATTAATCGTGACGAATTATTGGAAAAATTCTCGAGTGGTCGGGGGCGTAATTTGGTTGAAATTGCGGCTGTTAGGAGTCTCTCGATGCGTCGAAGTGAAAGAGCGTTTTCGTGGCAATCCGTCTTGTTGGTGCGATTTTGGAAAAAAGGCCGCCATTGTTGGCACGAAACGGGCCAGAAAATGCGTTAAGCGATGAGTAAGTGCCGGGCTAAAAAGGTAAAACCGAATAATGGAAAATTTAATTGTTAAAGTTCCACATGCAACGGCAATGATGAATTCGTGCTGCGAGCTTTTGTTAAAAAAGTGTTTAGGAATGTCACAACTTTGTAACTTCTAATGGATTCTAAAGCCGAGCTTTGGTGCGAATAAATTTTTATGGAGTAAAAATCGAAGCGTGCGGACGATTCATTAAATTTAAAATAGAATCGAGTACGTTTAAATTAAAAACGCATCCAATTATTGTTCGAAATGAAACTGTGGAACGAAAATAATGGCGTTTGGCCCCCGGTTTTCATCGGATGCAAGACAGATTTATGGGAACCGCAATGCATCCACTCCAAATTTCAACACCAGAAATTCATTTAACTTTGTTGGTCTTTGATGACGGACTGGTGAACGCGAATTACGATTCTACCATTCCACCGAGAAGTCATTTGTCGAAATTCAACGATAACATCTCTAAACAACTAGACGGAATATTGTGATTTCTTCCCTTTTGTATAATTTTACAATTACCGATAAACTTTAATGACAAAGATAAGAGGAGTATACGGTTTTGTGGGAAATAAATCGTTATTGTAGAACCGTAAAGAATAGCTCACATAAATTAATTGCTTCGTGTTATTCGATCTGTGAACAAGAGAGAGGTTCTGATTTGGGCGAACCTACTTGAAAATTATTCACTTTGGTAGTAAAGCAATACCATTAATTTTTTCCACTACAAAGGCGATTTTGCTTGCCGCTACCTGTCATTTTTTCCGTTGAATTGCCCAATTTCTTTAAACACGCTGACAGTATATTTGGGTGCAATTTGTCGCAAAATGCCCACAATTATCCTTGCAGCACACCTGGTTGCAATTTTCTGGTCGACGGCTTGTTTTCGAAAACCGATTCAGTTTGGTTATTTGTGCCAAACAAAGTTTGAATAGAAATCCAGGTGTCGTCTGGACAATAGTCGTTAAGACCCAAAAAGATAGAATAGAAAGGTGTCAGAGTTGCTGGAATTCGAGGTGAGGAGATCGCCTCGATCTTTCACACTGCGAAATCGAATCTTGTTTAGGTTTTTGTCGGATTAAAGGATGAAATGGACCGGATTGAATGAATCGAGGAAAAATGACGCGCAAGTCGTTGTGACACGAGGAATTTAATTAAATCTCCAGTAGATGTTAAAAAAAACGAATTACACATCATGGATTGGTCTGTCATTATAGAAAGATAGCCCCCCTTGGGTCATACGTGAAGCCGTCAAACGATCAGTAGGTAGCTTTTACATACTGAATATAAACTAAAGTTGAATGATTAATTTCTCCGTTGGACTCACGACCTCTTCATGTGTGAAAGATTGATTGTTGGATCGGTATTAAAGAAACAATAACTCACGTAATCGATCGCTCCTCTACACACACGAGAAGACGACCAAGATGGAATGTTGCGGGCGGACACGACGTCGCTTCGCATGTGGGCATAATTCATTTCAATTACACTTTTTAGACGACTTAAATCTCTGAAACAATGTGGGTATTATTAGATGAGCGTAATTCAATTAAATGCCTCGACTCCAATTAGAACACAAGTATTTATCTCCTTTGTTCCGAAATTCATCACTCATGCAATCCGTTATTAAAATCTATAAGTATATTTTCTCAATTCTCTCAAACATTTTATCGTTGAAAGTGAGTTTGTGAACTCGTTGGGGGAAAGCTTATTGCTCTATTTTACATATTTCCAATGGGTGTGTTTACGTTTTTGCGTCTGGTAATGGTTCAATTTTAAACACAATGTGTGTGATTGGATCGGTGGTTACCCGCAGCGAAATCCGTCCACGCTACCGTATTTAATACTCGGGTAAATCATGCGAGTCTTGAAGCGACTCCGGTATCATCGGAAACGATCAAGCCAGGCGACAATACAATATGTAATAATGATAATCATATACATGGAATAGATTATCTAGAGCCGTTCCCCGATTCAAATTACAGAGGCTGTGGTTGTCATTGGGTTCTGGTGCATTTTTCACGGTAGTTTCATTCATCGAACCTTTCATTACTCTGTATTTACTTAAACGTCTCCATTATTCGCATAGAAATCTCGTGTGGTTTTGATTTCTTCATTGTTGCTGATGACACTCTGTAATTGAGTTTATACTCCCAGCCAAGTTTTAACCTCAAAGTCGGGACTTATACCGTTTATACTTTATCATCTTATTTAATAGTTAACCGTGAAAATCGTGACGTGGTGATTCTATTTCTCTCTGTAACAACAATGTGGAATGGTCCGACATTCTTCGTCTCGTTACTCGAGACGACTGTGACAGAAAGAACAAAATATTATTGATACAACAGCCGAAGACTGACATTGACACAAAAGAGAGGCGCGGAACGGATTTAATTGACACAAGTACAAAAGACCGACGACTAATTGGACGAGGCGGATTCGCGAATTACTCAAATTGCAACACTTATTTATCTCGATCGCAAACAGAATTTTTTACCAAACGTATCCTCGGAAAATACAACAAAAATAATTTGACACGACTTAAGGTTCTCTTGTAATTTCAAAACTCACCGAGGTTCTACGAGAATAGTGTGTTATAGAGCTGTTACCGAGAGAAAATACTAGTGCCTAGACTGTCTGATCGTTGAAAACCAGTTCTTAAAGAAATAAACTCGATTTACGGTCATCGTTCACTTCACTTAGATGTATTGTGCATAAAACGATTAAATTAAAAGCTACAACTTACAATTATTTTACTGCTTTATTAATGGGTCAAACAACCAGATTGAAAGTCATAAAACAACGATCATTCCGCCCTTGTGGGGCAAATGACCAGCAATGCGAAGAAAGAGTTCTATTTTATTTTATTATACACGTTTTGAACGAAGCCTGGGGAATTAAGAAAAATCGCTTTACTTTATTTTCATTCAAATAGATTTTGAAAATGAAGAAATAATGCCTTTATTGTGTACGTTCACACATTCGAAACATCCCGATCCATCGTTTCTGAACTATGGACTGTTATTTTCTCTCTTTATTCATCTAATCAAATTAGCTGCAAATGTATCCTTGTCTAACAGTGTGTTTACGGTTTGAATAAAGTGATTTTCGTATCTTGTCGTCTTTTCAGGAAAGAAAAGTTTCGGTAACTTTGTTGATAATGGCTATCGAGGGCAGTGATTCGTTCCAATTTGTTCCGTTGATGGAATTATTGATAAAATTGCATTGCGGCTTGGTCCTTTTGGTCGTCTCCATGATTCGGTTTCTTCTCGATTTGGGTGTTCCGTCCCGTAATGATTGTTGGTGAGATGGTGCGCCTGTTGCGGTGATGAGGTCGTAATTTTTTCCCAACATGTGTACAGTTCGTGTCATGTGTTTCTGTTTATTTGCTCGTTTAATATCCACTTTCGTCATTAAGCGCCGCAGTTGGCGCTGATAAAACTAAACCATGTCCCGTCTGTAACCGAATTTTTTGTGTTTCAGTGTTGGGAAAACTGCGAGCTATTGCAGTCCAACTTCCAAGTGTGGGGGGTCATGTGCGAAGAGAAAGAGATCTGTGTAAGTATATAAAGTTAAAAGGATGGGTCTCGGAAGAGATCCGTGCGGGACGCGACCATTAATCATCGATGGGGTTCCGAAGGCGTAAAAATAAATTAAAACGGAACGTAACAAGTTGGAGTTTCTCTCGGATGTAACTGCCCAAATATAATGGCTCGCATTGTATCGTTTCACATAATGGAGCATTCACCGGGACTCCCATAATGAAGAATTGTCATGCAACGCGACTGTTTGAATTATTGATTAATTCCGTCCAGATTACCGGCTTTAAAATCCGGGAATCGTGAGGTTTCCCCGGAGATACATCGGGAGATACAAAACTAAGGCCGGATTAGAATGAAAGTTTAATTACACGGAACATAAATATCGGTTATTTATTAGAGAAGTGGCGAGAGGGCAAGACGTGAATTTCAATCTAACGTGCTTGTTCTACTCCTTAAAATTCCGATACTATACCCTCGCAAACTTAATAAACACCGAAGCTTGTGCTCCAACAGACCCTTCGCTCCATTCCAACTAGACAACATTAAATTAAATCTATTAATCTTTTCTTTGAGATGCAAAAGCTGTTATCTGCATTCGAGACGCGTCGAAACAATGACAATTGAATATGCAAAACGGGGACAAACACCGGCAGCAAGAGGATTTCAGACAATAAAGGCAAAGAAAAAGCCGTACTTAGATATTTCGTACTAAAAAATCGGAATGCATAATATCCATTTAGTGTACTTTATGGCAAAAAAACTGGAATGCAAACTTAGATATAAAAATCACGTGTAATGAGCTCGTGGGGTACTTTATGGTAATTATTACGGCGGGAGGTCCACAGAATTACCTCTCTTCGATGTGCAATGAGAGAATTTTTGCAATTACGTTTTTATATGCCACGCAGGAATCAAATAAAAATAAAACTAGTCTCAAAATTATTTATTTAATATTGTATTTGTACAGGAAATAGTTCCTTGCCCAACTCTTGACTTAAATACCAAAGTGATTATCTTTAATTGAGTCTAATTTTTCTAAAAGGCAACTTTTGATGGATGCTCCTTCATTTGAAAGTGCATGGCTCGTATCATCTCTCGAGAGCTACCATTAGGCATATTCTTGACATTTCGAGTGAATTAACTTTCATAATTTTTAATTAAGTGTTACACAATAAACGGGTCGCGAGTCCGGCATTTATTATCACTTTTAATTGAAAATAACAGCTTGGCAGTTACAAATTCGTCTAAATTATTCATATGGGGGTTAGTTTAGCGTCGTTAAGGTCACAAAGCGTATAATTTTTCTCGCCGCCATAAATCAGCTCGAAGAGAAAGTGACCGTCGTTGCTAATTATTCCGACATTTGATGCAATTAATCGTGCAGCAAACGAGGCCGTAAAATATCCAACAAGTGCGTTATTACCGCGAAAGGTCCCGCCATCGAGGAGAACCTTCATATTCATTAAAACGTATACTTAATTAAGAGCACATAAAAGTGTGAGCAAGTATGCGACATTTAAAACGTTTGTTGTGTTTCTCTTGAATTCTTTTTCTCTCTTCCAATGTGAGAGAGTCTTTATTGCCTCTTGCATTCCGGCACTAATGCGGTTTCTCTATCCCAGACATGCATTTAATCAAATAAAGTGTATTTCCCGGTTTTAGCCAACTTCGACGCCTCTATTGTCGCGAAGAATTAAACTCTCGAGCCTCTCTCATGCATATGAAGGACACGAGGCTGCACCAAGCTGATAAATCCGACCGCAATTAAACCGGAGATCAGGGCACGCCTGAAAAACTACGCTATTCACGAAACCACCTAATAGAATTGGGACTGCTTTACATACGCGACGACACAAAAACTATTTTTATTCCAGGGATTTGCACTAATTAAAACTAGCACTATTAATATTGGATTAAAACAAAGCCACAAACTGGGCTCTCACTCATCCAACAGGATTACTGCCTCCCTGACTGCACACAATATGCATCCGAACTTACCGGTTCAGTATTTTGTTTTGTTAAATTCTCAGAAAGTTGTTGTAACAAAACTAAAATAAAACAATTTTTTTGAAGAATCGTTAAATTAGGGCTCTGCGTAGAAAACACTTGTTATTTTTCATCAAAATCGATTGATAAGCAAACAGATGGCTAATTGAATTCTTTCCGAAGCAAACTTTCGTATTGTATTGATGAATGAGCTGTAGTTAATAATTTAGTCGATGGTTTGTCTATTATTCACTGAAACTCGGTAATAACCATTTAAATTTTCAATTACATACATTTATGTACTCACAATCGAATGTGACTTCTGGTTCTATGGAAGTCCATTGTTCACTGTCGTTCTCTAAGAAAATGTGTTTGAATGCAACTATCAATCAACCGGTCTGTTATTCTTGGAAAAAGTAAGAGTAAAGGGTGTTTTTCCCCGGATTTGAATTTCAACGTGATTTTATAAGGCAAGTTGCTTAGTCGTCGAACGCGCATCTAATTGAGTTCAGGTGTACGTCCGTAATTATACCGGTTTCAGCGATTCGATGCCTGTCTAAATGTAAATTAGATGTCCAATAATTACCGTTTCTTTCAGTTCCCTGGCTGTCAAGAGGCTTGCAGATTCCACGCGGAAGCCTCCACGCAAATCCAGCAAACACAACCGGTCATCCACACCAAAGGCGAGGGAGTTATCCAAGTCTCGGGGGCTCTAGCCCGGTGGCCAAGGCCGTCATCAGTCGAACAGAAAACTCCACTAGTCTACGTGGTGATGATCAAGAGCCAAGGGGGCGTCTGGAGACAAATCATCCAAACTCTTGATTTAACCACCCGAGTTCCCCTCAACACGGATAAGAAGGGAGCGATGTTGCGGGTCCTAGTGGTAGACCCTCAAGGTCTGGTCACTATTTATAGCCCCGACGAGGCCAGTTTCCGTGAAAATCGCAAGAAAAAGAAGACGATAAACACAGAAATTAAAGCCACGACGAGCAAGAGTTTGACGACTGATTCGGACGCTCCCTGGACATTGCGCGAGGTCTCCCTGATCCATCAGAAAGTTTTAGTAATCGGGGAGATCGCTTGGGAGCCGAAAGCCAGCCGCGGTGTTTACTTGGTGACTTGGGAAGTGGACGGAGGCGGGCTGAAAGGCAACTTATTCACCGATTCGACTTGCGTCACTTTGTCCCTCTGGCCCGATACGGTCTATCACATCCAAGTCGAACTCGTCTCGAGGATCCCCGGAGTCGAAAATCTTAAATCGGAAATGATGGACTTGGACACGGGACGAGCACAGAAAGTTTCCACCGAGAGTCAGCAAGATTTACCAGAAGATATCGATTATAAGTCGCCCCTCTTGTCCGTTTTAGTGAGTGCGTATCAAGGGGAGAGTACCAAAGCGAAGTGGTACAGCAACGATGCAATGTGGGGGGCGGCTCTCGCTGTGGTGCTCTTCGCGGTACTCTTGGGGGTAGTGTTGTGGAGGTGTAGGAGGAGGTATGGCAATGCGATAGATAATATGATCACGGGGGCTTCCGCCATAAGGAGTCAGAAGCTGGTTGAGGACTTTACCGGGTATACAGGTAATTGTTTTTCTAGTATAGGAAACTAAAAATTGACATCGAGATTCCGCGTTGAAAGAATCTCTCCGCGCCACATGGCAATTAATGTTGATTTCTTGAGGAGGGTTGAACGCGGCTCCGAATCCCCTTGCATGTTCTGTTTGTCTTGACTTTGTTGTCCGTGGGCGATTGGCCTAAATTACTTGTCATGTTGGTTAATAGATCGATAACACCGACGGTGATAATAATTGAAGTGTTGTTTAGAGAAGCTTGGAAAACATGTATCTGCCCACAAAAAGAATCCAAACCATGCATCGTAGCTTTATTGCGCACGTAAATGGATAAAATAAAAGTAATTTTACAACTGTTTGCAGGAAGTAATCAAAAAGTTTGGACGGATGGGTTTTATTCCAATTCAGCGCGAATTAAAACTGAATTTATACAAAAGTCGAGTCCACGAATAACTGTTTTTCGAAACAGACGTAAATTGATTTTTTTACGTGAGGATTTAAATATATTATAGCCATAAAGACAGGACGATGAAACAACTTTGAAACTAATTTGAATATTAATATTGTGAATGGGCAGACTTGTAGAATTTATTCTTTTGAGTTTTTTTCAAGAAAATTTTTGTTTCAGGCTTCCAACCAATAATATCTGTGATGTCGACTGACGAGACCAAATACGGCAAATGTGAGACGCCGGAAGTAACATTTCAAGGTGCCCACACTAGCAATTTTTTAAGTGAATCCGAAAAGACTGCACGACACGAAGTTCAAGTGTGACGGCATAGTTGTGATGCAATCAAAACGACTCGCGCCAAACTGGATGATTAAAAAAGTTCCTAAGTTTATGTGAAAAAATTGAGTGAAAAAGTGTCGCGAGTGAGACAATTTTTAAAATGGTCCTAAGTGTATATGTGTATAAAAACTAGTCTAAATTCGAACATTTTCTTACGCTGATAATGTCGAAGTTTGCTTGAGACTGTCTAAACTGATTTTGTTGCGATGAAGACGAAGCAATTTTTCAATCGATGTAGATTCGAAATGACTGTGTTATTATTTTGTCAATTTTTTATTTATTTTTGACGCTTAGACTTTTGTACATAAATTTACTCCCAGTTTTAGGACGTCCAAAAACCGTGAAAACTGTAAATTGCTGATAATCTTATTGGAAACTCAATAATGTATTTGTCAATATTTGGACAGTAGCTGAGTAGTTATTGTTGGTTAGTTAGCTTCATACATCAGATGTGCTCTTTGTCTCGTATTTTACGACCGGGCATCGTCGTGCTCGAGATTTTTTCCTTCGAATAAATCCTTCCCTGCTTGATTGACCTATTATTCCACACCTAGGAAATTACAATTTTTATGAATATTTTAAACTCGAGCCATCGACGTCCGCATCTAACCGATCATTAAATTAATTTCGTTGTAAATACTTTATTGTATTATAATTATCTATTATATATCATATAAGTTATTTTTCTATTAAACATGGTCTTAGTCAGTTCCATGGCTAAATGTAAATATAATTATTATAATTATTATCAGTGGAACGTTGCGTTTCATTCCAGCACACAAAAAGCCACCCCCACATACATAATTTCACCAAACAATATCAATCTTAATAAGCTGTCAGATGAAACGTTCGAAAACCTCGAAAAACGTGACGTTATCCACTCGGGAAATCTTGTCCTTTAAAAAAAAACTTTCAGTTCAGAAATTGAAATTGTGGAGATCTGCAATCATTACCGTCACCTCGAGCCAACCGAATCGATTGAATGTAATGGAATTGTAAGGCTTAGCCGGGAAATCGAACAAAATATACCCGGCTGTATGGTAGTTGCACGTGCTACAACTGATATATAACCAAACATTGACTTAATTGTTTGTTTATTTGAGCTTTTCATGAGACTCACGATGATGGATTTAAAATACGTGCCGACACTGATCGATGAAAACAGCCAGGAACTGCATGTCTCATCTTTCACTTGCTATGGGCACAGACTGTAACCGACTTCATTAGTGTTTTTAATCTTCAACTCGGTGAATTCAAATTTCCCGCCGGTTTTGCGGCCATCTAATGGCAGTTTTTAAGCGAGTACCAAGGAAAAAACATCTTTCCCATCTTCATTGTACTGTAATAATAACAAGGAGTGTTTTTCTTCAGTTATTATTCCACATCCATCTTAATGTGGCAGTTTGTTTCCCAGAAGTGGAACTAATCATAAATTAAAACAAGAAATCCAATATTGCCAGAGTCGGCCTTAATGGCTTTCGTCGCGATGAAGTTATTATACAGGGTGTTTCGAATTTTGGTTTGATTTCACTAGTTGTGAAATTTTAATGGTTGTTGTATGTGGGCCGCGTCGATTGTATCTTATGCGATTTAATCTTGGTAGTCACAAATCCAGTAAAATAATGAACGATTCAAACGACACCTCTAGATTGAAGCGTTGATAATCGGAAGTTGCGCTTTTACCAAGTAGTGCGCTTTAATCAAAGCGGCCATTGCTGTAATAAATCAAGAGAATTCTATGTTTTAATGGCCTTATTTCCATACGCACACCCATTTAAATTACTCGAAAATAATGACATAACGATAAGATCGCGTCGTGGTTTTTCGTGGTCGCTCGCTGTTTCCGGGGAACTCCCGCGATTAAATCTAAATGAATCCGAGGTGGCAGAGACAACAGATTGTTTATTTGGACAAGGAATGATGGCTTCATTTCATAAAGTACCTAGCAGGCTTTTAACTCGGCCGTATCAGTCATTTCGATCGCATTTTTTCCATGACATATAAAAATATCAAAGTCTCTCGCCAAATTAAGACTTGTTTGTTTTCACCCCATTTAGATTGGGTGTTGTGATTGGCGACATTTTTGACTTGAATTATTCATAACGGCCGAATTTGGCGTTATGTTAATCGCTAAAGTCGGGTGTAAAGTGCATCGAAGACTGCTCAAAGTTTGTTCACGTATGGAGTTATATCGAGTTACTCTGACTGAACTGACGAGGGGTGTCTCGCATCTGGCGCGAGATAATCCCCAGAGATGAATCCCAATCCCAAGACCGGTCATGACGTCATTTGCCCTCTACGGCACTCGGGGGAATGCTAACTTGTGATGCACCACGAGAAACCGCTGGATTATTAACAATTATTGCGGCTCCTGACAGAAACGTGACGAAAAACGAGGGGACACGGTACAGTTTTACAAAAAAAAAACTGTTCTCACGTCCAGTCAAATCAAATTCGAAATTGAATCTCGAATAAAAATTTTATCGCGTAATGAAACGGTGACACTTTCAAGATTCGTCGTGTTAAAATTTATCCATTTAAAGGAATCCGAGGTGGTCGGAGATTAACGGCCTCTCCATAACTGACGTGCCATTATAAAGTTAATTGATGGAATAAATTAGGAGGGACATAAAAAACGCATTTAAAGCGAAATATTTGGCTTTGTCATTTTGTTTCGGTTCGATTGTTGTTTACCAGAAGCCGTTTTCGTTTGAAGGAAAAACAAAAGGAAAAGGTTATCACCTGACCACGTGTATAATACGTTTCGAAGTCTTGTTTGGTCTCTTAATTGCGTTGTTTATTTATTACTTTGGCAGCTCCATATTTTTCACGGGGACTTCCGAATAATTTATTATACACTTTAAAAAATTGATATTGTACGACAGTGAAATATCGCGGGCCGTTAATGTCGGACAACGAGGTTTAATAGATTGTGCGGCGACACCCATTCCGTCTAATTAAGCTTCAATGACAGTTTATATTATACCAGTCCGGTCCTGGTCGGGATGCAATTAGTTCAGTGGCTAGAAATGCGCCGGCGATGGTCATCGATGATAAGCTTTATTTTTTTCGATTTTTTTTTGCGTAATTGCCACAATATGGCGTCGCGTAATTGATTTGGCTAATTAAATACATTAGTTGAGAAGTCTCGGATTTAATCATCGGGGAAGATCATGTGGGCAAAAACGAGGATCGATGACGAAGTGGTTCGGTTATCGACATTGTCAATCTCGGGCCAATTAAATCTATGACAAGTTTGAAACATTGTGTAATAATACTTTTACATCTCATAATTGATTGAAAGGGACGCCGCTGGTTGGGATCATTTGAATTATGAATTTTCGAAATCAATAGGATACCAATAAGAAATTTCATTAATTTCTTGAATAAATAATCTCGTTCATTATAAATTTAAATCGGGATTAACGTTCGGTAGAACAACAAATGGAATTCCTCTGGGGGCCTTAGACGATTCTTTTACTTTGGTCTTTTTCGGGTTTTTCCTCTCTCGGACGAAAGATGTTTTACATTAGAATTCACTTAAAATTCTAACTTAATCACTTTTTAATTTGATTCTTTGTCATCTTTTCGAGGACTTAATGGCGAAACTTGACTACTGGACGCTTCCTGTTTTACGGTTTATCGGTCTCGGAGAAGTTTAATCGCTTTTAATTACCACCAGGGCCAGTGGCGTAACTTTTCCTCGAAAACACGAAAACTTAATAAGTTGTAACGTGTGAAACGTTGTATTTTATCGAAGAAGAACAACTTTGGGGGTGTCGGGACTAAACTAGGTCGGATTAATGAAATTTACACATGCTATGCCTATAAACTTGTTGAATGATTTTAATCCAAGAAAGTTTGCGGTGTAATATCGCTATAAAATTTATCTTGTGTTTTGGCAGTCTGCTACTAACATTCAAGGTAAATTCGGATAATCTGACGAAAGCAAAATAACTTTCAGAATTATAAATAATAGAACGTTGAGAGTTACAGTTATATATGTAATTAAAGCTTTTGTTATATGTTTCTCTGTTCTTATTGGTTTGTCTAAACTAGACCGGCGTTTCGAGTTTTCCAAGCTATTATGCGAGTTTCGCAAGGAAAATCAATTGTAAGTCGACGTAATGTGTGTTTTGTGTAAATATTTCAATGATCGCTAATTAAAAAAGTAACAAAGACCGGTCTTGGGTGTATCGGCGATTTTTCCGGAATAAAAGCAACCGACGGGAACATTACTTCCATTCGGAAGGACCTGAATTATAGCACTATCCAAATAATCCGGATGAATTTCGAGTCGGGTGAATTGGATGTACTGTCCATTGCGGTCGAGGACTTCAATCAGGATAGGATTCCGACTAAGGGAAAAAATGGAAGTCGTTTAGGCAGATTTAGTAGGTGGTTTCATCGAAAAGACCTGAGTTAATGATGATACAGATATAGCCATCCCAGAGGAGAAGTCCTTTTCATTTTATTTCCGACAGTAATTGACTTTTTGTGTTTGCTGTTGCGAGTTTGCCTAAATAAAAAATTGTTGTCTCGCGTAAGGTGCTCGTGAAATTGGAAATATTTTCCCTGTATAAAAGCCAATGAACCGAAGTATATGTAGAAGGTTTCGCGGCAGCTTTTTTATATTGCTTATCATCAATTTGAGTTGCTTTTCTCATTTCATTTAATACAAAAGCCATAAATTTCGAAACAGGGATGCTATGCAATTTGTATGGTTTAGTAGAGTTTGCGTTCTTTGTCGTGTGCGAGGGAGGGACCGAAGACAAAAAGACTAAAGGTCCGATATTTGGCGAAAAAAGGATGTACTCGTGCTATTATGTAAAATCAACATAACGTGCGAAAACATAACTGAACGACAGATGTTTGAGAAATAACATCCTGCCGAGTGTAGCGCTGCTGGCAACGCGGGGCATTTTCGAAATAAATTACAATTTCGGTATCCGCTTACATTACGACGGCCATATCAATTTCGATATTTGCCAGAGAGCGGTTTTTATTTTGCTTTAACTAGCGTTCCGTCAAAATTTATATGCAATAATGCATTTGAAACACGAAATTCTGGGATTTTATGGATTCGGTTTCGGTTCCTAATAAAATTTTAAAGAAATTGTATAGTGAAAAACTAGGCGGCAAACCTTGGAAATGAAATATAGCGCGGAATAATGAGCTCCATGAGCGAAGGGTGCGAAATACACTAAGATACAAGTTAATTGAGAATCGTAAACCTTCCAGCAACACAATTACGTTCTTTCGAGCAATTTCGAGAAAGTTACCCTCGCGTATCCATGATGGATGTCCGCTTCTGTTCGTTGTAGCGATAAATTTATGAGGCTGCCGTCGTGCACCATCCTCCTAGGTGGAGTGTGGTGCAGCCTGCGGCCAAGAAAGCAATTATAAAACGTGGATGGGACGCGTTTAAGCGAGTGTTCACCGCTCGCTGGATGAGCAAATACATCAGAAGGATCAAAAGATGTTGCGAGCACAAAGGGGTCCTTATTCAAACGCGAAACCCGATTTCGGTTATCTGCGCCAGCCATTCCTGCCTCCTTGTACGATTTCGGGCGGGGGAGCAAACGCGATACAAAACACAAACTCTGTGTGCTCTCTCCGGCTTTAGTCGAAACTGTTCATCCTCATCAAAAAATCAACACCAGCTAAATTAATTACCGCAGATCCATTCGCGATTAATTAATCCACAGACGAAATTTTATTATATTCGGGAGGGAAAACGAGTTTTAATCCGATGAC